TCGACGTTTTCCTGGGTGACTGCCGTTTTTAGTGCACCCACCCTGGGATCGTCGCTAAGACTCACCGGACGACGTTTGAATTCTCCATACCAACGGGAAATTGTCGACTGATGTGGCGCTTCGTTGCCGAAAACAGACAGTAACTCAGCAAGGCATTCTTGTTGCGATAATTGTCTCTGAAAGTTGTAATAAATTATGGCGCGAAAATGTTCTCGGTTGAGTTCCATTTTTCTAATGTCTTGGTGACACTTAAAAATGCACTGTAGTGAGAACACTGAATTTAAGTTTACTAAGGAGTGAGGTTAAAATTCAGTACTGACGTTCGATCCGTGCGGCCTATTATGCTTCTATATGCAAAACTTAAAAGACATCCCTCGTACATATTTAAATTTTCATAAACAACATATCTTTCAATTGCAATAAAATTATTTAAAACAATTATTCGTGGCATTGAAGCACAAGTAAGCAGCACATTTGTCGCACTTCATTTATAATTACAATTATTCCTAAAAACTGCTCTATTTTTTATATCCGTGGTTAGTGGTTTGTTAGGTCTCATCTGTGCATTGTACAAGCAAGTTTGTTCTACGATTTGGGCGAGAAATTCATATGTGAAAAAAAAATTGAATCGTAAGTAGCTGGTCTGTAAGATCGCTGTTTCCAAGAAATTTATTATCTTGGGAATCCCTTATGGCTGTTGACGGCTACCACGTAAATAGTTGCGCGAGAGGAGTCAGTGTCTGTTGATATTGGCATTTCCACTGTAAATGAAATAAATAACAACAAATGTTGTACTTTATATCTCATCTGATTCTCGTCATCTGAAAGCTCCGAATCCTGACTGTGTGATGGAATATCACGGATAAACTGAACTTCAACCCTTTTACGCCCATAAAATGCACACGGTTTTACCTCAGGCAAAGTCCCAGATATACAAAAGTGTTTTATAGGTTGAGTCATTGTGTCATAAAACGTTGCGTTGCGTCTCCGATATTATATTTTTTTTTTGGTTTGGTAAACACATTCATGAGGGAGCTATTAGTTTAGTATGCCAAGCGACAGTGTACAATGTTTTGAAGGAACATAAGAAAAAGCATGCCTTTTCCAAGCCAATGACGGGTAAAAATCGCAAAAGTATCATAAGATCGTTGGATGACGCTGACAAGCATGCGATTCGGAGGAAAGTGCACGAGTTCTTCATCAGAAACGAAATACCGACAGTTGATAAAGTACTACGGGAGGTTAACGAGGATGCTATGTTACCAAATTTCAAACGTTCGACTATTCATCAACTTTTGAAGCATCTTAATTTCGAATGGAAGAAACGAGGTCGTAACAGCTTACTTATGGATAAAGAAGAAATTGTTCTGTGGAGGAGAGAGTACTTGACCAAAATTAAATCATTCAGGGATCAGCATCTATTACCTGGACGAAACCTGGATTAACGCTGGGCACACTACTCCGAAGGTATGTGCTAACAAAACTGTGACTTCATCCAGAAGGGCATTTCTAGATGGACTGTCGACCGGATTGAAAAATCCAGCAGGTAAATAGATCGAAGTAGTTCACGGTATCAATTTTTGTGCACAATATCTCTCTATCTTCGTACCTACAAGACGTGCATGTGTACTTAGCGGATTTTATCTCTCTGGGCAAAGGAAAAGGCTCATTATTTGCCACATTGGGGGTGTAGATGGCTTCGTGGATGACGGCTTATGGTCTTTTGAGTAAAAAAAAAAAACACTGACTTCAGGCATTTTACCACGTCTCGAAGACAATTCTGTGGTTGTTTTGGATAATGCTCCCTATCATTCTCGCAAAATTGAAAAAATCCCAACTTCAGCTTCTAGGAAATCAGACATTCAGAGCTGGCTCCGTTCCAAAAATATAACTTTCGACCCTTCCTTACTGAAATTACAACTATTAGATATTGTGAAACAACACAGACCAAGATATGATAAATATGTCATAGATGAAATGGCCAAAACACACCACAAAACAGTACTCCATTCGCCGCCTTACCACTGTGAGCTCAACCCCATTGAGCTCATATGGGCAGATGTAAAGAATTTTGTTGCTGCACGCAATACAACATTTAAATTTTCTGACATGCAAGAGCTGTTCAGAATTGCTATACAGATTGTCACACCAGAAAGATGGCAAAAATGAGTGCAGCATGTTCAGGAGAAATTGGAGGTAGCAATGTGGGAGCTGGACAACATAATTTAGAGAGATTTTGAATCCATCATCATAAACATTAATAACGATAGCCCTTCAAGTGAGTCTGAGTAAGTTTCGCGTTTTTGTTTTGTCACAGAATACATATTATGGGAATCCTAGTTATAGTGAATTATTAACTTACAGATAAACTACAGACAATGCAAGTTCGAAGTGCACCTTCAAAATCTATTTTCAATTGACTTAACAGCCTTACATTTATTCAATGTACAAAAGTGTCATCTCTACCCCTCGTTGACTACGGATTCATTGTGCATAGTGAGCAGCTGGTTACCTCTGGTACGTCTTTCTCCATGTTGTGTAGCTTGAAAAATCTGTAGAAAAACTTAGCACCCCTTCAAGAATAAAAATTGGATTTTGCGACACCCTTAACTATAACTAATTCACTATATTAGATAATTTCGTTAAATACTGTCATCTTTGTTTTACAACACGTTGGTGGTAGTCCATCATTCGGAGGTAGCCCTGAATGCGGCCCTGTACGCCGTCCTTGCTTTTGGCAATCACGCATCCATTCTATCTTGGGTGTAAATACACTATAGTCGCTGATAATTTGATTTCTCTGTATATTTCATAAACAAACTGATGGCTGGCAACATCGCAAATCGCCACCCCACCTGAACAGCAGGCTCATTTGAAACCGTTAACGGGAAGACAGCAGGTGATTTTTCAATCGGCGAAATAAACACGTTCCCATCTCGAGGAAACTCTCATTTATCAGAACCGGATCTGGAAGTGGTTCTAATAAGCGCCGGTAAAGGATATATAACTCTTCCCGGTCAGGAATTAGGAGCGTAAATTTGTCCTAATTTATCCGGTCGGCTCTCTTTCGCTCTCCTTTATCAGCCGGGTTTAAACTTTAAATGAGTGGTTTTTGAAGTTTCATTATCCGTTATTTGGGATGTAGCTGGAAATTGGTGGAGTACCACGTTTTCAATAACGTACAATGTGTATTTTTATGGCCTTGGGAAGGTCAAATAGCATTTCAGAGTGACTTTTTTGACTCGCTACGATCAACAGGAGATCAAACTGAAAATTTTAAAAGAATTGGCAAAAAAAATCTGATCGAAAGTCTTAGTTACAAAATACAAAGAAAGAAGTACCCCGATGTTCTTGAGTAAAGCGTGGTGGTCCATTTATGCGTAAACTTGGCAGAAACGTAATGTCGGTAATGATTCAAATATTTATTGCCCATTCCAAAGCTAATGCCTTAAACAATAACTTGTCCATGGAACACAATCTTGCTTAAACTACCTTTACGAACGCAGACTATCAAACCTGAAGTTTGTGGTGTATCAAACAACTCTACTTTTTTACAGCAAAATTGTTGTTTCTGTATCATCTGTTGTGTTGTGAGTTGAAAATTGTATAAACATATAATAAATGTAGTACGCACTTTCGTTTGGTATATACTAGAAATTGTTGTTATGTTTACCGTGGGTACAACGATTCACTACTTTTACCTTCAATTACACTGGTGAACAAAATTAAAATAATTTTTTGTGACATGGACAAAACAAAATGGTTATTACCTAAAACGTACTCAAACAGCCGGAAATAGCATTCGATTTTTCGGTTTTCTTGCAATAAGGCATTTTATTTGCTGCTTATACTCGTAAAATATAAGGATATGTGTGTAAACAAATAACAAAAAAACACATAACAAAAACTGTTCGCACTATTTACACAATTTCTAGGCATTGTTCATAAAGCTAGTCTCTATCACGATAAACTAAAAACAACACACCGTTTTAATAAAAATCAACAGTACTCAGAACATCTCAGGACTCTACAATACAGAAAACTTAAGTGACTCGGCTGCTATTTGTCTACTAATAAAAGCAATATGCTCTCTAAACATAGAGCTCGCATATAATATACAGGAGTAGATAGGTCTTAAGATTATATATGTGCGTCATCGCATAAGCGCCGAGAAATGCAGCAATATGGGATGTATTGTGATTCATAAAGAAGATGTTACCGAATATCTGTGGGTGAAACAAAAAGTCTGTTTTTAGATTTGATTTGAGTGTCTGAAAATACATAAGATACAGCCAAAAATTGTCATGTCACAATCCTATGTTCATCAGTGTTGTTTGCGTTAGTATTATTCATAGAAGTTTTCAATGAGATTCCTTGGCTGTTAGCAATGCAATAAACAGAAGCGCGTTAACTTAGCCACAAAATATAACTTAGAATAAATGTCATTGCAAGGTTTTGTTACAATAAGCTTAAGCATTACAAAGGAAGAAATTTGCAAAGAGGATAAAATGGAATATCGAGCCATCATTAAGTACCTGTATTTGAAGCGGTTACGGGGCAAGGAGATTAACGAGGATATAGTTGATAACCTTGGTATTGACTGTATTTCATATGCCAATTTCTGCAAAATGGATACCCAAATGCCTCAGCGCGCGAGTGGAAACATCGCGTACAATCCTTGCACGATTGGAAAAAACCAAAACTTTATGAACAGTCTAGTGACAATGAACGAAACTCAGGAACATTTCTTTGGTCCTGACACAGGACAACAATCGTTGGCCAAAGAAATTTCGTGTGCAAAAGTCTGCAGGAAAAGTGATTGTTTCAGGGTTTAGAGACCGTCGTGTCATTTTCACTGATTACCTCGACAAGATTAAACCATAACGAAAGAATATTATGCAACATTGTTGTCAAAATTGATTGAAAAAATTGTGTAGAAGAGACGGGGAACGATTTGGGTTTCGAACAGATGAAACGCCCTCCTGATTTACCTGACTTACCACCTTCTGATCGGTACATTTCGAAGCTGAAAACGTTTAAGAAAAACTCAAATTGTCTTCGAACGACAAAGTGATAGCTGTGATAAGCTGGTTTGCAGACCAAGAGGAAACATTTTTATCGAAAGGTTTAGAGAGTCTACAGTAATTATGTTAAAAGCATGTTGAATAATAAAATATTTTCATAAGGAATATCATAAGGGCATCTATTTTTTCCGAAAAAAATCGAAATACACGTTGATAAATCCGAGTCGAAGACGAGGATTTGTGCACCTGCACGAATCTTTTTTGTTAAAAAATATCACTGTGCATTGTTTTTTCGATTTTTTTGTTCACAGGAAAGAATTGGATGCCCGAATGGTATTACTCTCCATACACATAGCTAAAAAAATTTGTTGACAATAAAATCAGAAAAATTGTTTAACGTCGCTTTCTAGTGTCCTAGTACTTGTCATCAACGGTATTGCATTCGCAAATATTCCAGGCCGCGCCTCACACTGTGATCAAAATTAAATTGTAAATTCAGACCAGCCAAAATTATTTCAGTATACAAAACCAATCAAAATTATTTTTGGAGCTACAAAATAATTCGAGTAGTCAAAGCAATAATGCTTAAGCTATTTCAAATGATTTACTTCTTTTCTTTGCTCTATTTTTTCCTTCCTTTCTTTCCTTCTTTCCCGTTTCCCCTTAAACATGTTTAGTATCTGTGTAGCCAGACCTGACAGACTAACAGACCGACGAGACTTTTCACTAAGAGCGAAGGTCCACCGGACCGCTATGACGAATAATGACGAATAGTGTAGGTATTGCAATTTTTGGTGACAACAGCTGTCAAGTTTTGCCGTAGGTAAACTCGAAAAAACAGAATTTTTCCATCTAGAAACCGTTTGCAATTCAAAATTGCTCATTTGTAATTGGTAGAAATCAATAAGAGGAAAATGGTCAGTTCAAAACTTTCAGTGTGTCTATAGTAAGCTAAGAATATATCAATGAGCCCTCTTATGAGTCATTCTCAGGTGATTCCTATCATTTGAACAGCATGTGAAACGCATTGTGGCCTGACTTGAGATTCTCGCCCTCCGTTGTGGATGAGATATAATTCAATGCTTTATGCGATGTCAACGAACTTCTCATCCAAAAACACAATTCCAGCAAAACAGCTACCCTTCAATATCAGCTATTCCCGTTCGTACGAATAGAACTGGGGCAATGCTACCTGTTCCGTTTTCAAGTGGCCATGATGTTCGCGTGATACACTAGATCGCTGCGGAAGGCGGAATTGTTTTGTTCTGGCCCGGCAACCGGCAATACGAGTGATATCTGGGAGGTTTCTATGTCGTGTACCTGTGCACTGCTGCGAAGCTCATTAAAACCAGATCGATTTTGTAATTTTGTGCTACGCGATGTGCTGAGTGTTTTCCTGGCGATAATATAGTTTTTTTAAAGTGGTGTGAATGTACATTAAGGTCTGTTGTCACCTGATTGCATCAGGCTTGTTTTAGCGTGGACTGTACCCTCTATAGTCTAGAAGCAGCCACGAAGGTCAGGCATGACCGTATGTCTCCTTAGTTTATAAGCGAGGAATAATTAGGTACCTATAGAGACCTATAAAATCAGGTCACGCGATCGAAATCGTGACCGCAATATTTAAAATTAGCCGCCAAATTGGACAAAAACCAGTGGACCGACTTTCATTTTTAAGCTCATCTTATTCCCTCGTTGGAAGGCAGACATACTTTGTAATCATATATTTAATTCAATGATTATTGAGATATACTAAGGCCTTCAATTATTATAACTTTTTGAAGGTATTAAGTAATGTTACTTTACATGTTGAATGATTTTGGCAAAGCTATAACTAATTTCTGGCAGTTACAATTATTGCATTAGCTAATCCTAAAAACAGCTTTCGTTATTGTTGCCACAAAGTCAAGCTATGCCTTCTAAATCTTTCAAACCTGGAAACCCTGACTATAAGACTAAGTATTTAATTAGTGGAAACATATATAATCACAAAATAAGTTTGCTCTCAAAAGAATAGTTGCGAAGATGGGTGTCCTGAAACTTCGAACTTTCCTTTTCTAAGTCAGCTACGTTTGCAATACCAAAGCGAATTCGCGGCAAAACAACACCGAAAACGTAAAAAAGAAATTGAAGAAAAATACCCACTATTCATTTTGTATGGACTTTCAAATACTGCCCTGCCACATGTTTTGTTTGTGAACACTGTTTGAAGTTGTCGCTGTTAGATTCAAAATCACGAGCTTGCTTATCTCTTCCTAAATTGCTACATTTGGGGCTGTCTAGGTCTTCAACTGTGTTCAACCAGACAGGTTTTGCATGATATAAACAAACATAATATGTAGCTCTGATGGAAAGAAGCATCGAGGACGACGATGACGTTCTAAGTACACTCGCGAAGTATCAATAGGATCTTGGAGATGCTCATATCAAATCGATATCTAAGTTATTGCTCTAGGAATGCGAAAATTTGGTATATACGTTACGTTTCTAAAAAATATGCTTATCGTTGCCTGACCTATACCCTCTCTAAACTCCCAACGTTGAAAGTAGATGATTAATAATTCTTTGCACTCAAATTGAGTGCACATGTAAGTTCACAAGTAACCTTAGCAGTTGGTCCTAGACTTTAAGAGATTTGCAACATGAAATCAACTATGTGATAAAATCAGCGAAAGAAATACTTTCAACTGCTCGAAATCGGATTTTACACTGCCAAAGGCAGAAGCCTAAATGCCAGAACTCCGCGGCTGCTATGATGATCCCAAAGAAATTTTGTTAATACGATTTTTGTACTGCCTAAGGTTAGTAGAACTGGGAGCATGGATAATGTAGTCGGGCCGGCAGCACCCCAGACGTGTGAGCAATACTCGAGGCTAGGCCTTATCTGGGCCTCGTATAGATTGAGGTCATGCGTAGAAAGGTACTTCTTAGCCATAAGTAAATAGCCTAGCTTTTTCACAGCTGCTACAGCTATTGACGAGATGTGTTCGAGCCAGATCAGGTCCTCGGTGATCTGGACTCCGACCAGCCGAAATGACTGACTCTTTGACAGAAGTCGGCCATCCATAGAAACTGGATGAGCGCTAGGACGCTTTTTGTTCGTCAAAGTACAGCACTGTGTTTTGGAAGCATAGAACTGTACAAGATTGTTGCGTCCCCAAGCAGTGATAGCCTCCAGGTCTCTTGTAAGAGAAGAAGTCGTCGCTAGTCTTCTTTTTTCCAGCGGCAGAGATCGGCTTGTCACTCTGAATTCCTGCATGTTGAGTGCTGTCATCCGCGAAGCTTTGGATTGGGTTGATCGTGCAGGAAAGGAGGTCGTTGATATGTAAGAGAAACAGTGTTGGAGCCAAGACGGATCCCTGGGGACCACCCGCGTTGGCGTTGTGGGATGAAGAGGAGAACCCATCAATTACGACGAATATCTTGCGGCCAGAGATAAAGTCAGCCACCCATCTGCAAAGCTTTTCCAGGAGGCCATAGGATGGAAGTTTGCTTAAGAGGGCAGCGTGTCACAGCTGATCGAACGATTTCGTAATGTCAAGAGCAACGAAATGAGCCTCACCATAAGACTGGATGAGTTTACTCCACAAATGCGTGACGTAAGCTAGAAGGTCCCCTGTGGATCGTTGGTGCCAGAAACAATACTGCCTGTCGCCAATCAAGCTGGGACGTTCCAGGTCGTCCAGAAGCTCGCGATTTAAGCACCTTACTTATAACAGAAGGCAGAGCTATAGGCCTATAGTTGTAAGGGTCTGTCTTAGATCCTTTTTTTGTAATGGGTTGGACATGAGCAAATTTCCAGTTTTCTTGGAAGGTGCCGGATTCATAAGATATCTGGAAGAGACGCGAAAGAACTGGAGCAAGCATCGCTGCACACCTCTTCAGTACAATGAAAGGAATCAAGTCCGGACCAGAAGCTTTGTTGATGTCGAGCGACAAGAGCACTCGTCTTACGGTCTCCTCCTACATAGTGTAGGGAGCCCTTTGAATTGATGGCACCTGGGCATTGAGGGGGACGTCCATGGTAGAGTTGGCAGCAAAGATCTTGGCTAGCACTTCCGTCGTGGCCTTTGAGTCGAATACAATAGTTCCATCCTGACACGTAAGTGGTGGAAGGCTACTGTGTGAGAAGTTCTTTTCAATCTGCTTGGCCAGCGTCCAGAAAGACAGACTGCCATTGCGCTGCGACATTACCCTGTGCCTAACTTTTATATCATGCTGGTTTTTGGCATTGCGAACCGCTTCGTTATATTTGTTTCTGGAGGCGACGTCGGCTTGTCTGTTCTCTACAGTGGGGTTTTGTAAGACAATTTCACCAATTGAACATCTGTGCGATATGATGGGAAGAGAAGCGACTTCTTTACGTCAACCTCTACAAACGCTGATAGCTTCTCATCGGAAGCATGACCCGACAACTGAACAATGTACACGGCTTTCTCTTCAACACTCAACTCTTCTCTTCCTGATACTACAACTCGAGAAACTTGGTTCACTTCGCGATCGAATGTCATCGCTGTTGCACATGACGTCACTCAACTTCAAATATTCCGCTTGTTGATAAAACATACATCGTATTTGTTTTCAATATTTGGAATATTTGGCCTCAGGTAAGGATTCAAGCTCCCAAAAGAACGACTACCCCCCAAAACGACAAGCATGCAAGAGGTTATGTCGATTTTTTTATGTACCAGGTTAATTGTTATGATAATCTTAAACTAAAATGTTGCAACTGCATTTTTGCGGATCTGAAATGCGATGAATTACACTTCGACATTTAAATTCACATTAACAAAATTTCTATGGGATCATCATTCTAGCCGCGGTGTACCGGCATTTAGGCTTCTGCCTGCGCGGCTGCTTCGATATATACAGGGTGTTTCAGTTTATTGTTGCATAACTTTAAGATTCGATAGAACTTTTAAAATTAATGCTGGCTTGGCTTGTTTTCATACCGGCCACACTGGGTCCTCCCTTTAACTCGAGAACACCGACGTAATCGCCTTGAGTGGTGCAGACAACGGTCACTCTGGGATCAGGAATGGAACAGTATTGTCTTTAGTGACGAGTCTCGATTTTGTTTAGGCATGCACGATGGTCGTGCCACGGTTAGAAGGCGACGTGGTGAAAGGAGGAATCCACAGTTTTTTGTTGAAAGGCATGTTCATCACACTGTTGGAGTTATGGTTTGGGGTGCTATAGCTTATGGTTCCAGGTCAGCTTTAATCTTCATCAGAGGTAACATGAACGCGCAGCGTTATATCCACAAAGTTCTAGAACCCCATCTTTTACCCTATCTTGACACCCTTGCAGATCCAACTTTCCAACAAGATAATGCCCGACCACATGTTGCAAGAGTCACAATAGACTTCTTTCAACATAATGATGTCACATTGTTACCATGGCCACCAAGATCTCCCGACTTATCCACAATTGAGCACGTGTGGGATATGATGGGTAGGTGATTGCTCAATTTGCAACGTCCTCCTCAGACTCTAGAAGCACTTCGAGAGGAGTTGGTGGTTGCCTGGAATGAGATACCACAGGAGGACATTGACCACCTGATCAGAAGCATGCCTAAGCACGTAGGAGAATGCGTAGCACATCAGGGTGCATCCACACATTATTAAAGGTCAAAGGGCTTTAAAGCAGTTCAATCATTTTGAAAATTTTGTCATTTACTTATTATGCTTCATTAAGTACTTATACAAAATTTTATTAAAATAAAACCATTTAAACTGGGTGTTCGGATTTATATGTCACTTAGTATATAAAAAAAGGGGAGCAAGTAGTTTGCCCTGTGCGAAAACAATATGATACAACAGTTTAGCCTTAAGTTGGCGAAGTAAAACATCTGCGCGTTTTGAATCCAATATTTTCCTGTACAAGCCTGTTCAACTACTGTCCTGTGGAATTATCCCATTACATATATTCAAAATAATTTCTCTTGATCACAAAGCAGCCTTTTTAGTTTTTGTCTTAACTCTATCTTTTATATCTTCCATGACAGTAGATAATAAAAGACGCTCCAGAGTACAGTGAGCTCTATGCCATGCCATCGTGTTCTGTTTCCGTTCCCATTCGGAATTTTTCTGCAGTTTAAACACGTACGAGTTATCCGACAGGCAGCAGGAACGAAGATTAGGACGCTAACTGCGAGATTTACAGCTGCAGGAATAACGATGGGGTTTACACAGTCAAATTCCCGGGTTTAGGAAAGCAGCGGGAGACACAAAGAACGGGATGAGAAATATCCTATTGCTGCGTACATTTTTAAGAGTTACGCTTCTCGCATGAATATTTTCTTTGCGGGAAAGTTTACTGCCGTGGCCTATATTTGGAAAACAGGGCAAGATTGCTCCGCACGGTGTCGGTGACGTATTAGAAGGATAGATTGTTTCTTGTACTGAAAAGCAGTCTTATTTTTATGTCGAAAGCTCCGGTTTCGGCCACATTTAGTAAAAAATACATCTTTGGTCGCATGGCGTCAGGTAGGTTGACTCCACACTTCCCATGAAACGCCGTCATTAGTTCATAAAGCACAATTTAGACCCTATTGAAATACGTCAGCTCCATGGATAGAGGATAGTTGTTTTGATTTCGTTCGTTGTCCCAAAGACCAAGCTGATGAGTTGCTGCCAAATCAGGAAAAAGCTGTCTGTAGTTGGTTGTCTTTGATTGGACGGACGAAGCCAGAACCTCTAAGAAAAGGTTAGTTACGAACATGTATAACATGTAAACGGATTAAGTGTACCGAACAGGTCAGTACAACGTTCACTTGGCGCTGCCTCTCCCCAATATTTGAAAGTATGATGCGTTATACACGCGACAGAGCGCTCCGTATTGCAGAACACGAACGAACACCGGCGCACTGGCCGTATTTTTAAGCTTTAAGTACTTGGCAATCTACGATGTGTGAATGGTGCCTAGAATTATCGAGCCTGGAAGTGTGTTAATATACTGACATCAAAACATTGCCTTATCCTCTCCTCTGCCCTCAAATTATTTACCACCAAAAAATTTTTTAAAAGTGATTAGGATCCTCTGAAACGTCAAAAAACTAAGTTAGAACGATCTTTACTTTTTGGTCTTTCTCTTTGCCGCCACTAAACCGTCTTTAAGAAACTGACAACAACACTCAAAAACGCAATATCTCATTTTCGAATTTTTTCGCGATTACAATACCTCTTCGTCTAGTAGAGCAGGAAGTTAAAGGCCGATGGTCTCAAAAAATCAGTGATCTGGAGCAATTTTGTGGAAATGCCCTAAACTGAAAGGATGAAAATGCACATAGCCGTATTTAGGAACATTTGAAACAGCTATCGAAGGTGTTGAGGGGTATTGATATCTACAGGGTGTCCAAAAAATATAGATACATCAAAATATCTCCGAAAGCTTGTTTCTCAGAGAAAACCGTTGCAGAACAAGGTTAAAAGATTTGACAAGGGTGACCATGGACGTGACTTTGACTGTGACCTTTATATATGTGGTTTCATTCAACAGCCAAAAATAATTGCGCTCTACGGTACTATGATATAAGTTGCGATTGGTGGCTTCCTATGATGTTTTTGTGCAAACCAAAGTGAAAGCTGCCAAATGATACTGAACCTTTTTTTTACTATTTTGACCACTTTCTAGTAATTTGAATTCCTCTTTATTAATGGTAGAGTGCCCATTCCTAGGCCGTTTTCAATGATTTCCTTTTGGTAAATTTCATAGTGTATTGATTGTATAATTTCACACGTATTATATCTTTTTTTCTCAGTGATTCAGTATTGTGTTGGAAAAAAACTCTGTGGTTTTCCTCCGTTATTTGGTTTCCTATCGACCATATCTTTTTCAAGGCCACTCATTGAACCTTCGTTTATAAAGTTAGGTGTTCCTTGTCTGTCACTGTCCTCCTGAGATTGTGGTGTGAGTGCCTTTTGTTTAACCTCCAGATACTGGTATATTAGGAGCCGAACACCAGTTTGTGTTGTTTTGGTTTGGGTGCTACCCCGTCCATTTTCTTACGGGATTTTAATCTTCAGCGGTAAGTTTTTTTCTTATACCATTGGACCACGTGCATTAATACATGTCCCGAATACGTTTGTTCAATATCTGCTTCCTTTTATTGGAAAGGCATTGCGGAGAACCACCACACACTCCTCCAGCTTTGTTTGTAGCTGTTTTGCAGCTGATGTTGCCTTTTCCCTTGACAAAAAAATCCTGATGTGAACAGATAAAACATCATTTTAATTAGCTATTTTATAGATATTATTTATATATTGATTATTGCTGACTAGAATTCTTAGAGTGTACTTGATTTTGCTTGGCATTTTGCATGTTTAAATATGGCACGTTCTATTGGGCATTACATTACGTTGATCATGATTTCGATTTTTGAACTGCCATAACTTAATTTTAGATCAAGGGATACATTTCTGAGGGCATATAACTTTAGTACATTTTTATATTTTTTTTACCTTTGCTTTACTTTTCTTGTAAAAAAAATGTACATGGTTTTACTCCAAGTTTGAGTGTTTCCAATGAGCAGTTTTGTCTCAGACAGAGAGTAGAGAGTAGATTTTTCAGCAGTCTTTCCCTCTCTAGTGGCCACCGTTTTTCGTACCTGATCACTTGTGAACTGAGGACACCTCGGCTGTGCCTAGAACCGTAACTAGGAAAAAAAATCAACCCAGATAAGTTTAGGTTTAGGTGCTAAACTATCTTTAAAACGTGTACCATTGTAAACGTTTTGCGGGGCTATTTATTTCGGCCAAATAATTTTGCTTTGACGTAGTTTTCAATGATATCCTTCCATTCAACTAACACTCCAGTGGTGGAGCATATGTGCTGTTTGCTGAGTTAATATATTGTGATTTTCTTCAATATCTTGTTTTATTTGGCTCTGTGTGTACAATTGATTAGATTCTGTCATTATTGTGAGATTTTTTATTTTGTGTGGGTGGTCAGACAAAACAAGTTCCGACCAACACCTCGGGGATTTGTGGCTTAATCCGTCTTAAGTCCCTAAGCCCCCTACTCTCCGCTTTATTGAGCACACGGCACTAGACAGCTGTTTTCCATTGGCTGGCCCTTTGATTTCATTTATAGTGTTTTATTTATTAGTTCATTAATTAATTTCAAAAAAAGAAAAAGGGAAGATGAATCACATCACCATTTCATCTTGTTTATAAAAAAAGCGTGGCAACACGTAAGTAAGGTACATTATGTTTTCTTATGTAAACTTCCATCCTATGGCCTCACAGAGAAGCTTTGCAGATGGGTGGCTGGCTTCATCTCTTTTCCTTTTCATTTAGACCGTTTAAATATCGAATAAGCAAAGTCTCTTTAAGTTCCTTAGAGCAAACGCGGTACCCCGATATTTAGGCTCCTGCTTACGTGGCTACTTTGGTATTTAAAAAAAACGCTACGATCAATTCTTAAATTAAGTTTATTATCTTCAAGATCACTACTACCGTTACTAGCATATTAGAGCTATATCCACGAACTAGCTGACTGACAGAACCTCCAGTGTGGGGATGTTCTGTAGTTTTATGTCCTGAGGTTGGCCTTTTTGGTAGATGGCCGTCTGGTGATAGGCGCCATCGTGTAGGGACCCTCTGTAGTTCTAAGTCCAGAGGTTGGTCTTTTGGTAGATGACGGTCTAGTGATAGGCGCTATAGTGGTAGGTGCAGGTGTTGTGATGAGTGGTAATCCATGGTATTTGTTTAATATGTTGATAACGGGGAAGTTAATCAGGGCATCGTTGTCTTTGGCGAACATGAAATCAACATGGCTGAATGTTGGTTTTTCTATTTTGTACTCCTCGACCACGTTGGGAAGTTTGTTAGTAAGTTTCTCTATGTCCTGAAATAATAACGTTATGTATAGTTTGGTTTACACGTTTCACGTGTCGAACAAACCATACTCAAGAACCAAATTGGAATAAAGTGACGTGACGAATCGTACGCCGCTGTGTGCCGTGGTACCCGCGCATGCGTAATGTAAAACATGTGTAACAAACATAAGGAAATATTCCCAGTTTAACCTTGATTCTCACATTCAAGCTCAGTTGCTGTTTTTTAAATAGAAGCCTCATTTTTGGCACTGGCAAGCTAAATAATAATAATAATAAATAATCTAATTCTACGTCCGAATATGTATTATAACCTCAAGTGAGGCGCGTAAAAGTTCCTAGAAGCTTGGCAGGATCTTATTTTATTTATTTATTTATTTATTTATTTTGCGGTTAGTACACTGCTCGAACAGATGATTCCATTTAACGAACAGGAAATATACAAAATACAAAAAAAAAAGAAAAAAAATTAATAAACACGTATCAAGTACATTACACACATTACATCTAAATAAGTTCTTAACCTACAGTCAAAAACGACCTTTTTAAAAGTGTTATAGTGCAATGAAAAATGTCCACTAAATTCTTTACTTTTTCATAGTTGTTACACATTACATATAATGGCGAAAAAAGTAACATACTGGTACGAGGCACAGGTAAATAGAACTTGGTATTGTTAAACCTTATGTTTCGGTACGGTACGTGTAATGACAGCTTTTCTAAAAGAAACTGGCAATCAACTGTGTTGTTCAAAATTTTATATAAGAAAACCACAGCGCAGTAATTTCTGCGCTTAGATAAATTTACCATATTAAATCTACTGAGCAATAAGTCATTGCGAAATCCAGCCTCAGGATAAATCCCATCTTCCTTGAACCATAAATATTTAGCAAAACGTCGCTGGATCTTTTCAATGCTGTCCGAATGTACATCATATGCAGGGTACCAAATTATACTACAGTATTCGAGCTTACATCTAACAAACGCATTGAATAACAATAAAAGAGTTTTAGCATTATTGAAGCTCTTGCCACACCTAAGTATGAAACCCATCGTCTTGTGCGCACCGGTTACAATTTCAGTAATGTGTTGCACAAAAGTTAACTGTGGGTCGAAAGAAACACCTAGATCCCTCACAATGGAACAACTACCCAAGACTTGACCATTTATGTGATAAGCATAACCAATTATATTCTGCTTACGTGTGAAAGACATAGTCTGGCATTTTGTAATATTCAGATACAGCTGATTCAGGCAACACCACTCATACAGACGTACTAGTTCATCCTGAAGCTTCATACAATCGACAATTGTGTCAATTCTAGAAAATAATTTCAAGTCGTCTGCGTACAATAAGTTGCAACAATTTAGTTGGCCACTGAGATCATTCACAAATATAGCGAATAATAGCGGACCCAGGACGGAGCCCTGGGGCACCCCAGATGTCGCAGAAATACTGACAGACCTAAAACCACGGTACTCAACGAAAAGTATTCTGTCCAACAGATAAGATCTGAGGAAATTTGCGAATCCAAGTGATATACCACATTTTAAAAGCTTCTGTATTAGTACTCCATGGTCAAGTCTGTCAAATGCTTTTGAGAAATCCGTATAGATAACGTCAAACTGTCCGCAAGTATCTAAAATTTCAGCAGCATGCTGTTTGAAACATGCAAGATTAGATGTAGTCGATCTACCAGGAAAAAAGCCATGCTGATGTGGAGTGATGATGTGTTTCACATGAGTGAATATGATTTCGTGAACAACAGATTCAAATACTTTAGCAATATTACTTAGGATCACAATAGCTCTATAGTTTTCAATCTTATTTCGGTCACCTTTTTTGAACACAGGAGAAATGCGAGATTTTTTCCAAACCTTAGGATAACATCTCTGTTCCAAAGATAAATTAAATAGAAAAGTGAGAGGCTCAGCGAGCACATGACAACAATCTTTAAGTAAAAAAGAAGGTATTGAATCCGGACCAGTAGAGCATTTGGATCTAAGTTTAGATAAAGCATGGTTGACCTGATCTACTGTGATTTTAGGTAAGTCGCATAACTGACCATTACAAGACACACCAGAGACAGTGTCACCCCTGCCAGAGGTTATGAAATTAGACTGAAAGAATTTAGCGAAAGCATTGACAATATCAGGTGGTGAATTCAGAGCAACGTCATCCAAAACCATATGACTAGGTACACCGGTGACATTTCTAGCTCTGTTAACATATGACCAGAAACTATTTGGATTGTTAGAAATATTATGTTCAGCATTGGAAGTATATCTATGAAATGCACGATCCAGCTCAATCTTGATACTCCTTCGAAGCTCTTTGAATGCATCAATATCATGTGGATTGCATGTTCGTTTACAACGCTTCCATAATCTCCGTTTTCTTTCAATCTTGGCAATTATTGAGCGGGAAAACCAGGGAGGATAATTGATATCTCTCGGCGTTGTTACTGGTACATGAATATCAAAAAGAAAGTGCAGAATTTGGTAAAAACTGTCACAAGCAAGATCAACCTCTTTTAGTCCATAAAGGGACGAAAAATCTGCATTAAAGATATCATTGTACAAAGCAAGAATATTACATTTTTTAAAATTATAGGAAGGGATATTATTAACCTCAAATCTACAGGAAGAGGTATGAAATGAGAGAATTAGTTCCAAAGGCGGATGGTTACTGTCAATGGGCAACAAGATGTCAAGTGCTTTATTTACCTCTATATCGTTTCTACTGAATACCAAATCTAAGACACGATTATGTTCATTTCGGATGTGAGAGTATTGCTTCAGATTCAAAAGGTTTGCAAACTTTTGCACAGCCAAAATTTGATTGTTGTTGACAAGGTTGTTGTCCATATAGTCAACATAACTTGGTATATTAAAATCACCTAAGAGGACTAATTCATTATCAGAATTAAAATAATCAACTGCCAGAATATCACCAAAAACTGACTCATAAATGTCTGCAGACAGATTTGGAGGAATATATAAGAGTATGATAGTAGCGGTACGCCCCAATCTGTCAATATTAATAGTAACAATATCGACAGACGATACACTGCGTATCAAGTCGATTTTACTGACTTTGAATGAATTATGAACTGCTACTAGTACACCTCCGCCTCTGTTAACGCCCAGTGCATCATAATTCCTGTCTGATCTGAATAAGGTGTAGTTTTCTCCTACTAGTTCAGAGTCACGTATAGAGGCATTAGCCCAAGTTTCAGATAGTGCAATGATATCATACGCACAAGAATAGGAAGCATTAAGAAGTGTAACAGTTTTAGTCCTGAGACCTCTCACATTCTGATAATATATACTTAAGGCATGAGAATTCTGGGCAATGTTGGGTTTATCCGTGACGATTTTAGGAGCTACATTTGAGATGTCCGAGTACAGCAGTGATTGCTACTCATTACCAAGCAAAATTTTCTTATACTCTATTAGTTTATCCTTATAAAACTTACATTTACTGGAGTCCCACGCAGCATGATGTACATCAGGATATCTAGCATTGACACAGTTGTTACACTTCAATACCTGTTCCGAGCATTCAGAGATCATATGAGGTTGAGAACACTTTACACATACTTGCCTATCACTTTTACAAAATTTTGCATAATGGTTTAAACCACAACATTTAAAACAAACTTTTAAATCAACAGCATCATATACTTTACAACTATCAAAATTTACAAGAACATGTCCCCGTTCCAATAACTTTAAATACGTAGTGTTATCAACATCAACTATAGCTTGAAAAACTCCGGGTGATTTCTTAGTAGGCCATAGTTTTAACACTTTACATTCACTGGAGTTCTTAAGTACAATGTTCTGCGCAATCAAATTAGAGTGCAATTCGTCTAGCGACATGCTTTCAGAAATGCCCACGATTTTTAATCTAGGGTTGTTCCTCTTGATCTCCCTTACTTCATATTCATCTGAGAGATGCTGGGACGCTAAACTCATGAGTTTTTCAGCATCAGTAAAACTGTTACACTTTATTAACAAACCACCATCTTTGACATGCTTCACTTGTGAAAATCTGATGCTGCTGTCGACTGGATTAACAGCCTGATGTATTTTCAGTTTGGTTTCAGTGTTAGATTGACCTGCATTTTTTGGTTTTACCAAGACATTGACAATATTATTTTTCACAGCGTTTGCATAACTAAGTGACTGCCCAGACGCGACACGACAATCAACACTAGATTCCAGTTTTTCTTCAACTTTAACCATTAACTTAGATTGTGCCTCAGAAAATAAATCAAATACATTAGTAACCAGTTTGTTGACCCTTTCTTCAAAATTAGTTTTATACCATTCTTCATAATTCTTTTTGCGTTCAGTACATTCCACACAGTACCAAAAAAGTCCAGGCGTTTTAATCACTTTTAGAACCTCAGTCACGACTCCAACACAGGAAATGTGGTAGCTATGCTGGCAAAAACCATCACAAGAAATGCTGGGTTTCAGACGGCTAAACGCCAGATGGCAGTGACCACATGAATTTTCCATTATTTAGGATATTGTCAATCAATTTTCGTACATAATAACTGCACACAATGAAATAACCTAGTTTACTCATGCATTTTAAACTCACTCCACTATTTTCACATGCGGATAACCACTCACAAATCACAAAACACTGTTATTAAACGGGATAGACTATGTTTACAGATTGTGCTGGTACTGAGCTGAATTTAAAAATTTATAATATTATCTTAACAACGATTTTAATGGCGACCTTGTATCAAATAATGAACAACACCTTTATGTTCATTTCAAGGTCAACAATTTTTTAACTAAGAACTACACTCTTTGACACTGACAGTGGAAATGTTATGTTCTAAAGTACCACTATAGCTTTGAAAGTGAATTGAGTTCAAATCCAAGGTGAGTGTTGAAATCATTGTTAAAAGTTATTAAAGGTTTTACCAAAAAATTTTCCGAGCCTGGCACATTTAACATTAATTTGCCCTTCAGGGGCGACACTGATCTCAGATTCTAACATATCGGCGAACACTCTTGAGTCAAGAGCACAAATTTCTATGACATTGATTTAAGATTACAGGTACTTGAAATGAGGTAATTTGTTTTTTTTACCACGAAGGCCTAAGGCCTAAGCACCCATTGGGTACCGTGGGGCTATTGGGGGATACATGGGAAAGGGGGGACGCCACACGGACTCTGGCGAGGGAACACGTGTGCATGCAACATGCACACATTCTGGCTCCGCCTACGAGAACCGCCGGGTGGTACCTCCGCGTTCGACAGTCAGAGACTATCTACCACCTACGGACAATCACAACATCCATAGCCAAGAGAAAAATTTCTCCTGGGACGGGACTCGAACCCGCACAATGTACGGCGACTGATCAGGAGACGGAAGAGTCTACTACTGCGGCCACCGCTAATGCCTATAAAGAAATATAGCTCTTATAATCAATACGAGCTTAGTTAAAAAAATACATCAAACGGTGATGTACTTGAGGTGTCCTTAGATTCGTCTTGATAGCCAGTCATTCTTTTTGGTTACTGCAGTCAAGCTTTTTACGTATTGTAAAAATGTGCTTGTCTTCAAAAAATTCAGCGCACAGCGAAAAGGGGTATTACTAGACAGCGTAACAGTTAAGTCATTTAATCATCGAGTAAATATTCGTATAATTACCTTTGGTACAGCCAGCCTGTCATGTTTCCCATACATCAACGCAACTGGACAAGAAATTTTTGCAATATCGTAATCTGGTGGACTTGTCTGGTTATAAATTTCTAGATTCTTGATTACTCCATAATCGTACTGGTTGAAATGCCCTATAAAAAGATATAATAAGGCAGAGTGATTATACTAGTATCTTGATATATTATCAAAGGCACTTTTGAGAAGAAGGTATTTGGAAATGCAAGTTACTAATTCGTCTAAATATATGTATAGATAATTATGAAATTCAGCTGGAAGGAATGGTTTTAAGGCAAAACTGCTACAAAACGAGTGTCACAATATATATCATAGTCATTTTATTTAATAACAACAATCATGACCTATTATAGTTTTTAAGCTATTGCTTCGTTTGATAGACAGATACCAAATCTAAATCGTTGACAGCAAAACCCCTACCACCTACCTTGTGACTTTGTGTGAAAGGTAGAATGAGAGGGTTTGTGAGAATCCAATATTTACCTGATTGAACCTCTTGTAAATAATGCTGTAACTGCTTAAACGATGCGCTTGACGGAAGACTCTCCAATATGACAGGCAACAATTTCTGAAAGAATAGAAATGGTTTAAGTACTTACGAATTTATCGCTACGTTTTTGGGACAGAAAAATACAAATACTGGAGAGTTATTGAATGGAAACGGTTTAGAACTCAATATTTTTTTCTCCATTTTGTCTCCAATACTAATAATAATTATGGATTTATGTTTTACACAGGAATAAGATGAGGAAGATCTATGGATAAATATCAACAAATCCAAATATATGGTGACGAATAATTGGAAGCAGACGTTGGATTTGAAATTGTCAGATAGTTGTTTGTTTCATGATATCCATCTTTATCCGTAAATGTAGTGAATTTCGAAGCTTTTCAAGTGCTAATTTCTTAGTTACCTGAATGCCCAACTTTGCCACAATTTAACCAACACCACGTCGTATACATTAACCATTTCCAAGACCCCAATAGTGAGAGTCAAATTTTATACACCCTGTACATTGCATGTGCTTTCGTAATGTGATATTGTTAAGTACCCTTCGTAAGCATTGAGTAAAATGTTGCAGGCAGACAAAATGCACAACCAACTTAGCGCTGACGATATAAAAGTCGTCAACAGCGTACCAGCAATTTCCTGCCCTGTTCCTCTATATAGACATAACCTCAAAAAGGATTCATTAGACTCTAACGTTAAGAGTTTTGCGTCTTGAGGCGGCGTTGTCAACTCGCAATGTTTTTTCAATAGCTGTAGAGGTAGCTTCGTATCAATTTTTCGCAGCGAATATTGATCAAGTTTAGTGACCCTGATCAGTGATCTCGCACAATCTGCGGGTTTGCGGATCGACATGGCGACAAACAGCATAATAACAACTCAAGCAACACTGGCAGGGACGTGAAACGTAATGGCGGCGTAGTGAGAGACTGACCAAGAGTGTCTGAGGTTGAACAGATGTCAGGTAAAGGGATGCACGGTACGATGCACAACCACTTCTTATCGTAAAAATGGCCCTCGTAATATATAATAGGCTTTTTCTGATATTAATTATACAGGGTGACTTTGAAGTTGAGTCATTAATTTTCAGATAATGATTGTAGAAGGAAGATAAACCAAAATATGTGTGTAAAAATAAAAAAAAAATAAAAAAAAAATGTTACCTTGTTTAATAAAGTATCCTCCCGACAAGTATTTCAGTGCGGACCTGTATTTGATCGTGCGGTCTTGGAGCAGCATGCCCTCACCTGTGAGGTCTTAAGTCACCTGATTCACGAACCCTTTGCACTACATTGACAAAGGCACGAGGGGTTGGTTGCACTCGATTGGGAAACCGATTCGCATAAATCCGTGATGCATCCGGGAGCATTTTGTAAAGACTGCCCCCCCGTAAATAAGAATCATGTCCACAAGTTCAGCATTTTCGTAAACATGTGCCATTTTTGATTTCGTTTGAGCCACGCAACACACTACTATTCACTCAGGATTTATCGACTGACGAAAAACATCGTGATAAACGTTTCAAATTCTTTCGCTTTTTTGTTTCCGATGCGATGAACCGGTCAAGCGGATTATATCCGTTGTCGCCAAACACGAGCATATAATAGGCAGGGCGGTACTCAAACTTCCAAAGGGCTATAACTTTGTTACTTTAATTTTACCAGAAAAATGGTAAAGGAAAAAAACATTTCTTTTGATCAGATCTACTCACTGTTAAAATAAATGACTCAACTTCGAAGTCACCCTGTAGATTACGCAAACGAGCCAGAAATTCCTGTTGTGAAAAACATTTTCTGGACATTTTCATAGCGGAATATTCTTACTGATAAAACAAAGGGCCGTCCTTTTTGAATACAAAACATGTTGCTATCTGTCTTTCCAATTGGACATCAAAGTTGAGAAAACCACTGTCTCTAGTATATTAAAAAAAATGAAAGTAGTCCTCAGAAGAATTGAAGGGGGAATGAAATATTTTCAAAGTAAGACCTTGCAATGTATTCAATTCTTCGTGACTCTTACAACCTGACGTTTAATAAAATAAGAGGTTTTTCATTCACTATCAAGAATATGATTTCTGTTGTAAAATTGAATTGGTCATCTAAAAAACCTTACAAGTCACTGACAAATTAACCAGTTAAGAGCTTTTTTCACTAGCACTAGCAAGCAGCATTTCTCTCCCTAGATGTATAATAAATAAAAATAATTTCGAAATAGAATGAGAGTTAAGTAATACCACAATAGTAGACAATAATAATTTCAATAAACATCCATGGTTGAGGCATTTTGATCCTACCTGATCTCTTTGTTTGCCATAGCTTATTTCATAACGAAACGTCAACATTACCGTATACAACTTCATCAGCACAATCTGGCAACGCCAGTGAGGAATCTCGTTTCCTCCCAGGAAATTGGAAACGAGAAACTCGTGTTTTTGATAACTAATAAGACGAAGCTAATTAAATGCTTAGTAACGCTCCAGTGGAAGTTTTTGAGGTTAAATCTCCTTATAATGACTATATATTAAGTTACTAACGCCACCGAGGCAAGGTGCAGTATGCAGTCTGAATACAAGGTGAGGAGTTTGAATTGCTTCTATATAAATACAGAGGCATAGGACTGGGTGAACAGCATAAAGGCGACTTAGGGTGGATTGAGAATTATGAGGTGCCTACTATTTCATGCATATTGTCAGAATATAGGGCACTATTCCATAAAAATGTTACATTAATAACTAGCAGTTTCACTGACCGTACTTGTAAATGTCGACCTGAAATTACTAGTTTACAAATGCAGTACTATCAAAAGGACATTCCGTAAATACGCTAGCCTGCAAAAGCGCAATGAACCACAGAAATGATTTAATCAGTTAAGAACTTTTCGACTTAGCGGTGTTTCAAATATGATTTACATGATACTTTTGAAGACGATATTAAGACGACTTCCTCCCAGAGAGTGCTACATTTCGACTAAGGTAAGAGAAAAGTCACTCAGAAATGGGAGGATGAATTATCAGAGTTGAAAAAAGTAAAAGCAGTTGTAATGTATATTCCTAAATTACCATTCTAAGAGAATCCATTTTTTGATAAAAAATTGTGAAAAATCAGAATACGCTTTGAGTCAATGCAAAAGTACTGAACACTGCCTTAGGCTATGCTGAAAATGTGCATATTTGATGATATGTATCTTGATTAGTATCTTAGGCCCGTATCGTCAGTCGTCCCTACAAATGTAGGGCGCGTTTATGGCCTCCTTGATTTCGATAATATTCCGTCTTCTGCGTTAACGTACATGTATATCCTGCTTTACATTTCCGACATACTGACAGTTCTGGCTTGAGTTTATGTTTAGTTATGTTGTTGTTTTGACGTTCAATGGAAAGCAGAACCATAATTTATAATTTTCTTGCAAATATTGTCGATCACTCAAAAATACCTCGCTACATTGAACAAATTCCACAAACTGTGGTATCTTCAAGAAATTGTTGAGTTAGGAAAATTAATGCACATGAATATATTATATTATAATATTATATTTGTGCGTATGAAAGTCCAGAAGCTTACAACCAAGCTATTATCTTGATGAAGGTTGGTAAGTTACAAAACAAATCATTGCATATCCATATTATATACTTATCGCATTATTTTTAGGTGTGATTCATTCTCACAGACTTTATGAGATGGTTCCTCCATGGATAAGAAACATTGTATGCCAAGTGCAATTATTGCATTGTCGATGTCAGAGATGCTTTCTCACAAATCATTGTGGGGCTGTGTAGGGTGTCAGGCACAAGTATGTGTAATATGTGTATGTGAAGATCATAATTACTATTATTAACCATCGCTATTTCAGGGTGCTCAACATGCCATGGTCACGTAGGACTACCAAAAATGAAGTGTTACAGAGAGTAAACAGAAAAATAGAGTTGCAGCATGAAGCAAAATCAGAAAAACTTTATAACAATTCCATCATTAATTAGGAACGGGAAAATAAAAGAAGATTGTGACTCATCAAGGGAATTACTTTCCTGTTAAACAAACTCGAAACAATTCAAACAAGTAGATAAGCGGAAAAGACCCATTATGTTGAAAACTGTAGTTACCTCAAAGTCAGACTGAGTTAAGCCATAATAGGTACTTTTAAGATAGTTTCATTCCATTCATAATTCACTCATCATTACAGGTAGATAGATGTTGCAAATTAAAACTCCCAACTTTGTCATGAACTTAACATGCAAGACTCATTTTAGCCAAAAAAGAACTTAACCTAACCTGGCTCAGAGGTACAGAATTTGATTTGTATTTAAACTGCTGGGTATAAATTTTGGATTTAAATCACTATCAATAATGGAGCCTTCAGCTACTGAGCATACTTCAGTAGGATCATGAAGAACAAGGAGATCAATGCACTGAGCCTCAAAGAACAATATGTTGTATTTATCAAATGTGTTGCACCATATAGTAATGTTGTAGAATGTGGTAGGTATATGAAGAAAAAGTGAGGACAGCTAAATATAGTTCCAATTTGTTCAGTCACTGAACAGGTTTGGTATTTGAAACACTCAAATGAAGAGCAGATTTTGCGAGTTATGATAGTCACAGTAAAAAAAAATGAAATCTTTGGCTCGAAAGTCTGCATTCATCTCTTGAAGGGGGTGTGGTTTCAGGTCCATTTTAAGATGAAAACTTCAAATGATCGTATATCCTAAATGTTTTAACTTTTGAAACACATGGTGGCAAAAAAAGTCAAAAAAATAAATCCTTGGTTATGAATATCCGTATTACCACTTAATGAAATTTGGCATACATGTAAGCGTGTCATCAATTTTTTATCCCTGACGTTAACTAGATTATATGCTATTCTCTAAATTACAAGCTAAAAGGATATCTAATCAATTGCAAAGAAATCGTTCTAGTTTGGGGGTACATTAGATCATTTTGGAAAGTTAATTAACTCTAGGTATCAAACTTCTTGAAATATCCAATTTCACCAAATCATTAATATCAGAAATAACACGACAGTACGCATTAATGACACTTCTTTAGTTTATGAGGATCTTGCAAAAAATTTGGGTGTCTTACTTGACAAGGTTTTACGTTTTCGTGAGCATATATCTAAATTAGTAAGAACCTGCTTTGTTGTACTAAAAACATTGTTTGTTAATAGGCATTTCATTAATTTCAAATTGAAAAAACATCTTTGTGAAAGCCTAGTTCTCTCAAAAATCAACTACTGCCTTATAGTTTTCTATCCATACTTAGATCAGGACTCAATTCGCAGACTTCAACTGATTCAAAATTCGTGCTGTCGCCTCATCTACGGTTTAAGAAAAATATGGAGTAGTACCAGTAAATCATACCATACATATATTTCATTACTCAACGGATAAAAAGATTATTTGCTTACCGAATCGAACTTATTCAAATCGAATCCCAGGAGTAAGGAGAGAAGCAGCTTGCATACCCACTGGAACATCGATCCATCTCTGCAGAATATATTTGCCGCAATCGTTCCGTAACGTGGGTACACCTCGTACACCTGGAACTTCTTCTGGAGCCACTGAGAGTAATCAAGAAAAAACATTTTACAGTGCTGAACAAAAAATGGCATCAACTAGGTTGATTATGTACCTCCCATGCAACGCTTCCTTCAAAGTACTAAGTTCGGGACAAGTTAGCGCTTCGCAGTTAGCTAGAGGCATGCATAACAAGAGTCAGCTAAGCAATTGATACATAGTCCCCACCCATTTAATGACACAATTAATGTCTCCTCCAACATAAAAAAATTGAAACGAAGCGCCTCCCACGCCAATAACCCATGACCTCCAATTTTTACAATTGACAAAATTTTTGCTGAAAATAATTGGGAACCTCTGAAACATCAAAAAGCGATGTTTGAGCGTTTTTTATTCTTTAGGCTTATTCTCCATTGCCATTAGACTTTTTCAAAAAGATAAAGCCTTTTCAGCATTAGCATAGTAATAACCTAATGTGAAAATTTCATCGGAGTCCGACCAGTACTTTCCAACTTATAGACCGGCTAAGGATAAGCGTACAAACTGACAGACAGACCGATGGAAATGAGTGACATGGTAATGTGGATCTCTTTTATTCTCTTTTATCTCTTTATCTCTCTTTTATTAACACCAGAACGGAACTCATATTGGAACAGATATTGAAATATCGGCGAGGTAACTCTTTAATGGAATCTGCATAATGTAGGGTCAACTGAGGCCTGGGAAGGATGCAGATATTTCACTGTCGTCATTTGTCAAATTGCTCCTAATGCAAAATCGACTTATTGTCATTTTCATTAATATGCTTTCCTTGTTCTACAACCTTTGTGGCGCTATCAGCGGTTAACTACATCGCTTAAGTCAGTAGTCGTAGAAACTCTATTGGACTACATCTCGATGTACGTATTCATCTCCCATTTGTTCTAGATATCTAAATGAACCTTAGATTACCGGAAGGCGTTATTTAACTAACGTTTCGACAGTAAAAATTCAACAGATCGATCGGCAAAAAACTAATTAGCAACTTCATCTCAAGAAAGGTGTCAGAGCACCCGAAACGTTGGTAAATTAGCGTTTTCAATAGCTGTGTTTTTGATTTGCTGGCTAGAAGAAACATTGGATTAAAGTATGGGGGTGCGATGCAACATACCTAGAACGTACACTGAAAATTTTTGAAAGCAAAGGATGGTTGATTGCATTTTTCAAGATCTTCGAAGATTCACTTCGATCCGAATATACAGGGTGTTCCTTAATGATATGCGAATATTTAAGGGTGTGAATCTACATGAAAAATTTGTTAGTTTGCTTTATAAACTATGGTTCAAAAATGTTACAAAAACTCGGGGTGGTGAAGTTTTAGAAAAAAAAATGGAAATTAATTAATATTTTCAGAACCGCTTCAGATATTTCACTGATATTTGGTACGTAGTGAAAGTTGATAAAGTTGCATATTTTTTAATGCAAAAGTAATTTTTAGCTTTAACATTGGCGGGTATTGACTTCGATACTTTTCAAGAAAAAAATGGTACGCCAATGGTTCTTTGTCCAATAAAAATAATTTTTGATTCCCCGTTCAATTTAAAACAAATGATCTTCCTTAAATTGTTGTCCTTCGATGCGCCATTTTTGAGTAAAAAAATAAAAACCGTTCTATTGTCCGAGAAAATTAATGTAATAATTAAAGAACGCAATTTAGCAATAAATATCTAGTTGCTCTGGAATATGTCACTATCTTTTGACATCTGACAAGTCTGTGTTATTCAAATCTGTTCGCTGTGACATCTTTATTATTTAGTTTTTACAATCTTGTTAATAATGGTGAATTATTCAAATGCAGAAATGGCAGAAATGCATTACGTATATGGCCTTGCCGACACCCCGAGTTTTTGTAAGGAAACATTTTTGGACCATAGTTTATAGAGCAAACTAACATTAATTTTTCATGTAGATAGACACCCTTAAATACTCGCATATCATTAAGGAACACCCTGTATAGACGAATATTTGGTCGCCAACAAACATTTTTTTAGATTCGTATTTGAAGCTCCTTGATCTGCAAAGACGCTCCAAATAGTCGGTATTTGGAGTTAGAACGCGAAACCTCAATACTACTTAATGTAGCATCTGAAACTTATTCCGTGGTTGTCTTACCGATACATATCCATGTTGCCGCGGTGGCCGAAATTAAAAGATTATCCCGAAATCTCCCTGGGTCATTTCACATCTAACAACTTGAGTGTCGTTGGTCGTGAGTCTTTAACAGAAATCACAAGGAGATCGTTGAGCAAGTTAAGGTGGACCTGAGTCAAATTTTTGATCTCACAGTTTACATCCGACTTTTTAATAGAAACATAGATTTTCGTTGGCTAGGTCAAGGGGGATCTGACTTGTTAGTTAGTTCAAAATCTAATGATTCACGATACCTGTAAGGGCTATCCAGAGTAACGACTCCAGTGGACAGTCGGATAGTTGCTGATTGTGCCTCAATAAGACAGAAGGTTTCGGCTTTTTAGAAGAAAAATAATGAAGTTTCACATTGTACTTCTTGATAGTCACAGTTCTTGCAGCGCTAGTAAAAACTGTTACTTTTAAAAAGTTTGTTGAGCTGTGTGTCTTCAAACTGGAATTATTTCTAGAAAGCAGCAAAAAATAGCCCAATTAATCATCCCTTGAAGGTTCCTAAATCTCACCCTGTCATTCTGCCAAAAAACCCAATCGCGAAAACAGGCGCTGCGACGTCGTTCTCAAATAAAGATTCACCCGAACACATTTCTCAGCCTCTGATGCTTTGCAGATATAAAACAAAAGAAAACCCTCGCACTGTGAAACAAATGAGCATATAATTAATCCTGCGTGGCAATAAAAACCTCACCGTCCATAAAAGTAATCCCTTACCCGTATTTCATGGCACCCCGCGTCATTTTTTTCTTCTTTATTACCTTTGACTAATGCCGCGACGTACTTGAGGACGGGTACGGCTCAAAAAGGACTCAAACGAACCATGTAAAAGGGATCAAAATGATTGTGTTTGGTGAGCGAAATGCATGTCAGGCAACAATAAGCAAGTTTTTATTCTGTATGTCAATGAGCCGTATTCATAAAACGAAGGATATCCCTGTACTTGCAAATTTTGAAGGCAATCCTCCATATGGTATTTATGACAATGTGAAGTAGATGCTTTTGCTTTTTGAGTATAAACATATCCTTCAAAGAAGTGACATATGTAAAAGTATATTCATAATCTTCACCTTATAGGAAGCAAAACCTTCAAAAATTCTGAGTGTTGTCAGTAGCAGACTCAACTTTTTTTAGATCTGTTTTTTCTTCAACCTTGATTTTATGTTGTTGATTTTTTTTAATAAGCCTTTAGTATCTAATGGTTTACCGAATGTTGATTCGTATTTTTCAGCATATTCTTCAAGGCATCGTCCTTTCCCATTTTTATTTTTGGAACTTGTGACTTTTGCAAAATAATGGGAGCAACGGCAATTTCATCTGCGATGAACTGCAGGTCGTTGCCATTATTTTCTATAGTCTCCTCATCACTTGTGGACGACGTGCTTATTATTTTGATAAAAAACTGTATTCAGTAAAAATACGGAACGGTCTGTGTAAGTTCTGGAGTACAACTGTTAGTGATGCTGAGTGAACGACAACAACAAGCTGGAACAAGTCAGGACATGTTGCTCAAGATACAAATACCAGTCAACCTTTTCTCCGAAGCAAGACCTTATAATTTTACCTTAGCCTTCCGAGGATATGCTTCTCTTTTATGAATACGGCTCAATGATATGTCCAATGCCACTGTTAATTATCTTATAAATCTGTTTGCGAATGACGCATTAGTTTCAGCGAATACTGAAATGGACAAACTTCTTTGTGATTAAAAACAAATAAGTCTAAATTAAATGTGAAAAACTCGAAACGTATGGTCATATGTTAAAAAAATAACGGCAGCAAATTTAATAAATATAAATTTATCAGTGAAAATTGAAGGAGATGTACTTGACTTTATACATAGTTTCAAGTATTTAGGTATTATTATAGTGACTAACCTTCAACAAACATGCTGATCGTGTATTAACGTAGAATTGTTATCTACAATACGATAGTTTTGCCTGATTACATTATACATATTTTGCATGACTTTTAATTATACGCACAAATAAGGAAACCCAAAGGTTATAAATTCTGTTAAATAAATGTATGTGGAATTGTAGCAGGTATCCCCCTATACAAGAAATGCTAGAAACATTGATTTTTTTACATACATTAAATCATTCAAGAGGCAAATTTGATTCCTTTATAAAAAACTATCGATAATCAGACTCCACCTTATTTGAACAGTTTTTTTTTAAAAAATATGGTGTGCAAGGTATGCATTGGATAAAACGAAAATTTCCATTCACAAAGTCTTAAATCTAAAGGTTTAGAAAAATCGGTGCTTGTTGGAGGTCTAGAAATGTACAGCAATTAGCCTATCATTGTAAAAACATCTAGTAATGTTAACATCTTGAAAATAGTCTTCAAAGAGACTATTTTTGTTTGATGTGGTGCCCACCTTATAAATTTAACATATATTTTATAAATAATGTTCATTACTGTATAAAGCAACTTAAAGCTAAATAGGTCTTCTTCTATTCTAAGCTTTAGATCACGTTTTGTACATTTGACGGCATTTAGTAAATTGACAGCCAACTTGCATGCTCGGGAAACTTGGTTATTTTATTAGAGAGAAAGCTAGTCATCAATAAAGGTAGACCGTTTTGACAAAAGTAATTTTGATTTTATTTACCTCGATCAACACGATATGGTGCTTGAGAAAGTGCAATAGCGGTACTCTCACATGGCTCATAAAAGCGACTGGACCCATTGCCATCATGATGTCGATCTTTGAGTTGTACTCTGGTCTTGCAGATGCCATTGCAAAGAACTGGCTGGTTCCTTGGGAGATTCCAATGTACGTGAGAGTTGAGGCGTTAGTATGATTCAGAATGTAGTCCATCGTTGCTGGTGTGTCGTAGTACCCCAACTCGTGAAAACTGATAAAATAATTGTAGAAAAGGAAGTCAAGTAGATTAACTCGGTACTACTCGGCCTATGGTCAAACATCGATAAAATAATGGGTTTTTGGCCCTCAAAAGGTGTTTGGTGTAACTACAGACTACTTTACCCAGGAACATTAGTTTTGAGCTGTTCTGCATCAGATTATTTGATCATTAATGTTGATCGGGACTCGTTAAATATAGAATAGTGCATTTTGATGATATGCGAATTTAGACTAGAATAAATATTATACGAGTTTAAAAAAAGTTCAGCAATTGTGATATAATTTCCTTCTATTCCTTCTTATCAGGTATTTATAATAGAATAATATACAGGGTGCAAACGTTATGGTAGTCATTATTGAAACTAGTCAAAAGGTTCATATGACCCATGGACCACAATCACCACAATCTTACTAATTTTTATAATATAATCTAAAACGTTTTTGAATTGGGTAATTAACAAAAAATGGCAATAAGTTTTTCTAAGTTAAGCCAAAATTTTTAGTTTTAAGTAAGTTTCATTGAATTAAATATTTGAAACACACATGAAAACAGCGCGTCGGTCATTCATCACTCTTATCGAACCGGCAATCGATCGCAAACGGTAACAGTGGTTAGTTATTGTTCGCGTACGTCGTCGTGTTTATACTAAGTGACATATAAATCCGAACACCCAGTTTAAATGGTTTTATTTTAATAAAATTTTGTATACCTAAGTACTTAATGAAGCATAATAAGTAAATGAAAAAAATTTCAAAATGATTGCACTGCTTTAAAGCCCTTTGACCTTTAATAATGTGTGGATGCACCCTGATGTGCTACGCATTCTCCAACGCGCCTAGGCATGCTTCTGATCAGGTGGTCAATGTCCTCCTGTGGTATCTCATTCCAGGCAACCACCAACTCTTCTCGAAGTGCTTCTAGAGTCTGAGGAGGACGTTGCAAATTGAGCAATCTCCTACCCATCATATCCCACACGTGCTCAATTGGGGATAAGTCGGGAGATCTTGGTGGCCATGGTAACAATGTGACATCATTATGTTGAAAGAAGTCTGTTGTGACTCTTGCAACATGTGGTCGGGCATTATCTTGTTGGAAAGTTGGATCTGCCAGGGTGTCAAGATAGGGTAAAAGATGGGGTTCTAGAACTTCGTCGATATAACGCTGTGCGTTCATGTTACCTCTGATGAAGATTAAAGATGACCTGGAACCATAAGCTATAGCACCCCAAACCATAACTCCAACAGTGTGATGAACATGTCTTTCAACAAAAAACTGTGGATTCCTCCTTTCACCACGTCGCCTTCAAACCCTGGCACGACCATCGTGCATGCCTAAACAAAATCGAGACTCGTCACTAAAGACAATACTGTTCCATTCCTGATCCCAGAGTGACCGTTGTCTGCACCACTCAAGGCGATTACGTCGGTGTTCTCGAGTTAAAGGGAGGACCCAGTGTGGCCGGTATGAAAACAAGCCAAAACTTCTCATTCGTCGGTAAACACTTCGCATGCCAATAGGTCTTCCGTGTTCTGCAAACCATTCATTTGCAATGGACCTGGTAGTGGAGAAACGGTCCCTTAAGGCCAATAATCTTAGGCGGCGATCTTCACGGTCTGTTGTTCTACGGCGGCGTCCAGTGCCCCTTGCTCTTTGCGTACGGCTTTCTCGAAAAAATCTTTCCTTCGTAAACGTTCTTGTCAGTGAATAAATATGACGTGAACTTGGGGCTGGGTAGGAATTTCAATAAATTCAAAAGTAAACAATGTATCTCAGTAAAATATCGTTCTGCAGTTGAAAGTTTAAAACAAGTATGCGTACCATAATTAGTTTCTCTACATCAGGCGCATTTAAAAGACGTGAATCCAGAACCGCTTAGATGACGGCGGTTGGGCTGCTCATTCTGCCCGCCCCGCTTAGGGGAGAGCCTGATGGTGCGACGCTGCCGGACACTGATGAGGGAGCTGTTCACATCAGGTTTTTTTCAAGAGGATGGCTTCCAATTTGCAAAAGTGCAACGATGCAACTGACTGGAGGAGAAAAGATGATGATTTTCTTCTGGAAGACGTAGCACCCAAATCAAAATAGCTAAACTTAAGTTACACAACAAAAAGAAAAGTGCTCTTGGCGCCTAAAATCCCAGAGTCCGGAAAACGACAAAACGACCCCTGCACCACGACCTCAACGGAAACAGAAAAGCGAATCACGCAGAATACGTAACGTGAAGAAGATATGTTTTATAGGAAGCCAACTAACAGAGTTTTTTGCTAATCGTCAACACCATAGTGTATCGCTGAGAAAGAAAGATATAATACGAGTGAAATTACACAATCAATAAACTATTCAATTTGCAGAAGAAAATCATTGAAAAGGGGTTTGGCTAGGAATGGCCACTCTATTATCAATGAAGAGAAATTCAAATTACTGATAAGTGATAAATAGAAAAAAAAGGTTACGTGATTTTGGCATATATTTTACACCTATTCCCTAGTCAATCAAAACATGGACGAGGACTAGCTCAGTCTAAGAGGGATTGACTGAGAGTCTTGTCTCCACACACCATTTTCGTAAAATGTTCCATTCCCTCGCAGACGACGCATAAAGGCGTTCCACTGAGGTCACGGCATTGACGCATGCGGTACACTGTCCTTCCGTCGAGGCAACACGATATGACAAAATATCTCCTTGTCGCATGCCATAAGTTGCCCGCTGTTGCTTCTCGAGGGCGCCGTCAGCGACATTCGGATCGGTGCGGCTTGGAGCAGGCGATAAAATGGAGTGGATTAATAAGAAAACATTATGCTTAATACAAGATTACCATAATTTAGGTAATTGTCAGGTACATATAATTATGGCAGGCTTTGTACGATGATGAGGCAAAAATAGTTGGATTTTTTAATAAGGGTTAATTTCTTCAAACCGGAAGATATAACTGTTCCAGATTAGTCAGTCACGTCACTCCATTTTTTTCACCTTAAATTGACCTGAAATTCTAAAATTAGGCAGAAACGAAACTGATAACAAACTTCATTGGGGTTTCTACAATTACCTGAAATCCCAGAATTTCTGTTTATCCTTATCGGGATCCAAAGTTTTGTGCTTCCTAGAATAGGTCGAACCACGAGGATTGCAGATCCACACATCATACCCTTGATCAACTAAACGCATAGCCAACGCTCTGTTTTTACCGGTAATCAAAACAACTGCCGACGATGACAACAGTCCTGGCATGATCAAGACAGGTATTTTTGAGGTGCCTTGATAAAGATGATGTAACTCCAGGATATAACCATCATCGGTGGTTACAGGGATCTTCTCAAATTTGTAGCCCTGACCCTCAACGAAAGATTTCTAGAAAGATAACCACGTTGCAAAGAAAGTATTTGATTTATTTCTCTCGACAATATTGGCTATTAAAGTACACATGAATCCGTAGATTTGCCGCAACATTCAGGCTATAACAGTTCAGTCATCTTCAGCAGCACATACACACAAATATGCAAAACAGAAATCCTAAGTTTGCAGTCGTGAAGCAATGTAAATTCAGAAGACCAGAAAGAAAGTTTCATATCAATCTTTCGAAAATGTTTATTTTCTTCTTCAGGAATGCTACAAAAATATTGAATGAACAGGATTTCAACGCTGTAGGTAGTGCTTTTTTTATCAATACTGCAATGAATATTGTAGTTAATTCCCGAAAATATTTCAAGCCCCTGACCAAATAAAGCTATAGCTGGCCTCAGTGGAGACGTTAGTTGATACCAATAAGAAAGTCGCTGGGGTTACCAATCCTTCTATTCCTGCTTCTGTTGTTTTATTGAATACATGCCCAAGATTGTGTTTTTCCATCTAAGTTTCCGAAAAAATACCTGTACTTTTAAACAAACTACAGAAAATTGGCTTTGGCTCTCCAGGGAGAGTTTTGTAGGTGTAGAAACATTCTAAAGTAAAAACCTTAGTGGCTTACCTCTAGTGTTGGCCGTTTTTGAGTTTCGATTTGAAGTATGAAGTATCCTTAAAATGGGTATATTCAACTCGTCAAAACTTGGATATCTTTTAGGTTGCCAAGTGTTTAGATTGAAGTTTGAACCTTCCCCTAGAAGAATCCGACCAGCATTTTGGGCTTAGTTCTTAGTTTGTTTTAAAGCGTTGTTATTTAGCTGATAATAACTCGATCCCTCTATTGTACGGAATATTTCGCACAATGCTTTGACATAGACTAAGCCCAAAAGAATCGTCAGAGTCTTATAAGCGAAAGTCTTAACTTTAAATTGAACGTTTGGTAATCTAAATAATGATAATTTTTGATGATACGTTCTTACCCATCAAGAGTGGCCCTTTTTAAGGTTTTTTTGATTCTGAACCGCATATAACTAGATCAGCTTTATAGGAAAGTAGGAACTTTTTGTTCGAAATAATCCAAGAGGCCATAAAAAAACGTTGTCTCAAACACTAAAACGTTTTTATTATAGTTTTTCTGTAAAATTGCTTAATCGTACGTGATTATAAAAAACGAACGAGTTCTGCCACGAAAACAAGGTTCTCCCCTTGTATATTAATCTTAGTTAAAAAAAATACCAACAACTGCACAAAAATCCATAACTCAACAACTTCAAATTCGTGCTAAATTAGAGATAGACACCTTTGTGCTTATATCATAATTCTAACAAGAGTGAGAGAACCGAAATCTTATTGCAATGCCCTCGTATAACTGTCGAGAAGTAGGATCGACGCTTAGGCAACCTGAGTTACTCGGGATAGTTCGATAGCCACCGAGAAGCACGTGTCGACATCTCTATCCCAGCAAATAGTCAAGGACGCGGAATTGAGATAGATAATAGTCCAGTCGACATAGTTATACATTTGGTATAAATTAGTTGCAAGTGTTATAAATTAGCAACAAAGTAATAAATTAATCCTAGGGCAGTAAAAGCGGTGTGTTTGTTAGATTTTATTATTACATATCAAGTTTGCAGGCTGAAATATAAGGTGATAAGAAATACTAAAATATATTTTAGCGTATGAATAACAGTTGCAAATTCCGGCTAGGCGCCATTTTGCAACATTTTTTTTCAAAATAATGAGGGGTCATGTGATATCTAATTGTGATGCCTCGTTATGAGGACTATATGGTCTCTGAATCATTGTCTTTTGAAATGACGGACGGCAATTCATCATCATTATGCTATATCAATTTTCTTTTTTTGAATATGTAATAAAAAATTCGAACGTTCTAATAGAAAAATCAAAATGTGCCAATTTTATTAATTGAATATCCTAAATTTTATTACACATTCGGACGGACGGTCCAGGAAGAATATTGATATAACATTTTGAGGAATAGTTATCCAGTTATAGGTGATTCAGTGTACAAACCCGCTCAACTATGATCGATCATTTTCGATGATAGACACTTTATATTCTGAGATTGTAAAGTACCGATAAGAAGCTTCAGAATAATTTATCATATACGTCGTTCTATTAAAGAAACATTCAAAATATAGGTAGGTGCAAGATCTTTTTGAAAAGTACTGTATGTATCCACTTCAGCTTAGAAGTTTACAATAATATTAATGCTGTATTTAAAATGATTGAAGCATTTTACTACTCACTAGCCTATCCCTCAGTATGCCGTCTTCATATTGAAACAAATCTTCATATTGGTCAGTAAAGTCATACGAATAGTTACTATTCGTATCAGATACTCTGATACTATATGACCAAGTACCTTGGAAACACAAGAAAATACATATTAAACACTGAAGAGACATGATCTGTGAATTGAAGGTACCATACTAAACTTGATTAGTGATTTTATATTATCTATGAACTAAACATTATTCAAGTATTTTATCGTTTTACGATCTGATGAATAATATGTATAATAGTGATAAAAAATATCATTATATGATATCAGAGAGATAACAAGAGCACAGCACATGACTTTGTGGAAGAAATTTTAATGAAAATCTCAACCGTGACATTCCTATTTCACCTTGATGGATTTTGACATATAGTACGATGCAATTAGTCCAAAAAACGGTCTAACGTCAACATACAAAGTAAAAGTTTCCCTCCAACTCCAAATTATTCTACATAGTCCACATATTGTTTGGTAAAAAGTTAGACCATTTTGAGCGTCGGGTTTCGGGGGGAGGGGGGGAGAAGTTTGCAAATAAGTACTTTTTATTAGTTTTTCTTAAATATTTCGAAAAATATGAGGTTTAGCGCAAAAAGTATTATATACAAAAATAATCTACATTAAATTGCGAACACTGGTCCTATATACGTATAATTTTGCTAAAGAGAATGGTTCCGGAGTTACGGAAGGTGTAAAGTTAGACATTTTTCGTAACTTTTAGACTTTTTGGAAAAAATAAATTATAACTACTATTTAAACAGAAATAAATAAACAATTTTATCAAAAAGTGATGTTCAATCGTTTAATAAAAGCGCGCCTGCTACTACAAAGCAGTGTTGCCAACCTGTACAAAAATAGAAGCCGTACCGATAATCAAAACTTGCCGTTTTTCTTAACTGCGGCCGTGGTTAGACGTAAAATACAGAGAAGTTGAATGAAATAATAAGACACAATACTAAGGTTTGAAAAAAGACTTTTAAAAGAGGTCATATAAAAAACGGAAAAAACAAACATTATTTGTAATATAATTTTAAAGCAGTTTAAATCTTACAATATGATAAAGGTGTGATCGTTTGGCAAATTAATATTAAAATAATTATTTCTTACTTTGAATTTTTGTTTTTTTTATGTTAATAGTCAAACATGGTATTTAGAAGTGTTAAAGAAAAAAAGCCGTGATTTTGTTACACGGCAGTGTACACCAGTGTTACTTGCAGGCTATTGCAAAGTAGCCCAGACATTCGTTGTTCAAGTTGGCTGCACTTCTTCCCACTTCAGCAGCTTCCAGGCAGCATGAATTTTGGACCTACCACCAAGTGCAGCAGTGGCTGAATGAGAACAAAAATCCGCTCGAGTGGGGGTGGAAAAAGATTGGCGAACACCTGACACCAATTACAACAGCACGTCCTGCAGCTCCCCAGGAGTTACTTTCTCTCATAGTGTGCGCTGGTAAAGACGAATGCGTCCGTAACTGCGAGTGCAGAAAGAGTGGTCTAAACTGCTCAAGCATGTGCGGTAATTGCTTAGGCCTAGGATGTAATAAAAGAGACACGAGCATAGAAGAAGATATAGAAGAGGAAGAAGGTGCTATGTTTGACGAGGACTGAATACTTTACATTAATTTAAGGTCGTATTTATAATAAATATATGCAATATACAATCAAATATTTCTTTTCATATCCCTACTTTCAGAAAAACATCAACAAGCTGCAGTTTAAGAAAAAAATATGATTAAAAAAGATGTAATTATATATCAGAATTATTACACAAACATAATAGTTCATTCTTAATGCGGCATTGTCCAGAGAAAGTTCAGAGTGGGTTTCTCCGCAACACAGGTTTATATCTAGGCCTATGGAAGCCTCTTTTCCCTTAAAAAGTAGCGCGCCTTGAGAAAGTGGTGAAGTTGTCTTTCCTTCAAGGGCTTATCACTAACATACAACCGGCCACAAAATTCACCATTCGCTTTTAAAAAACCCAATCTTGCATAAAAAAAATTGGTTTCCTTAGTGTCAATTTTTCCAAAAAATCTAGGTACCTACGTGAAATATCTACTTTCTCATCTTTCATAACTCTGGAACCGTTCACTTTAGCAAGATTATACAAATTATCATTTTTGTTCGCAATTTAATGTGGATTATTATTGTATAAACCACTTTTTGCGCTAAACCGCATACTCAAAAAAAACTGATAAAAAGTACTTATTTACCAACTTCTACCCCCCTCCCCCCCCAAAGCCGACGCTCCAAGTGGTGTAACTTTTTACCGAACAATATGTGGACCGTATAGAACAATTTGGAACTGGGGGATACTTTTACTTTGGATGTTGAGATTTAGGTCTAAGTGCACCGTACTAATATGAGGTGTCTCTTGACTTCTCTTGAGAGCACAATTAAATGTTAATTTACTTAGCGCCATCAGCCATGACGTATTAAATTATATCTGGTTCTCCTGTCGCGGAGGGATCGAAATATACAGGGCGTCCCAGAAGCAACATGCCAGAATGACACAGGAGGTGGATTGACTTCAGATCAATTAGATAAAATCAACATGACGTTAGTAAAAGTTTCTTAGTTTTCGAGATATTGCCACTTTTAGGTTTTTTTGAAAAATCAGTACTTTTTGCTCTTTTTTTGCCTGTTATGGCCATAAAGAACTTCTTACTTTTTTCCTGAGTGTTCAAGTTTTGTAACATTATGTACGTTTTCTTATAAAATGTCATGTTGATGTTAGTGCGGCTATGACTATGTAAGAAACTAATAAAACTTTATTATAAAAATATAATATTTCATCTGTAGTTTTCAGGGCGCAGTCATTCCACGTTTGCTCACCATCTATGGAGGAATGAATCAACTACACTGTTGGTTACATATGTTTTGTGAAGCCGAGTAGTCTGTGGTTTTCATCTCTAAGAAGAAAGTCGGTTGAATAGCAAGATCGCATCTGGATGATTATGTGTATTTTTCTGCATGTGTGTAACATCAGTGATATTTGCGTGTGCGAGAATCATTACATCAGAGCCAAACATTGATAACTGAAGCATCATGATGTTTAGGCAACACATAAAACTACAAATCGAGTGCACAATGTGTCCATCAACTAGTGCTAAGCTAACATTTTGTAGAAAAACCTATATAATATCAGAAAAAATCAATATAATGTCACTTTCCAAGATATGTAATACCCATGTGAAACTGCAAGGCAGTTATGAATTTTTTATAAATAGAGCGACGTAGTCGACTATAAATCAGTATATTAAAGAGTAATGCATCAGTTTGCTGTATAAATAAGTATTCTATGGCAAATGGGATATAAATGATCTATATGGCTTCCTACAGGACGATAAATGAGTCCCTCTAAGTAAGAGTATCAACAATCTTCATAATCATTACCTCATGTTCCTGTTTTTAGAGTTCATATGGTAGAAGTCGCTGAAAATAGGTTTCTCAGTACTCTTGGAGATGAAATTAAAGAAAAATACCTTCAGGTCAGCGTAAGATTGAGAGGAATGTTTTTTGATTAAATCATTGAATAACGTGACACTGGTATTACTTGGCAGACATAGCACAGGCGGAGGGAAAACATTCTCGGCATCTTTAGTGGAATTCTGCAGAGAAAAGCGAGCAGGGCTATTATTATTTTTCAATAATTACTATCCGAATATGTGGAGGAAGTTAGAATCAGTAGCTTAGATATACAGGGTGACTTGTAATGTCATGTATTCCTGTTAAGGGGTGATAGATTAGGTCAAAAGCAACCTATTTTGTTCTATAATGTCATATCCAGAAATTAACCGTTTTTGAGTTATTTGAATTTTATTTTTTTTAATTTTTTATTCCGATTTCAGACGGTTAAATTTGAAATACAAAAAACTACATGTTTCATTTTGAGTTTTTTGTTATCGTCGCATAGCGGACATTCCAATAGTTCATAATAAGTAATAAAATGTTGAAAACTTACAAAAGTTTTAAAATTAAGGTTTTGAAATGTATGATTTTCTTATTTTTTACTAACTTATTCGATAAAATATTTAATTTTATGTAAAAAATCTCCTAGTAATGAAATGTGCAAATTATGTAAATAATATCTCTATCTAACAAGCTTTCATTTGAGGTATAAAAGTTACAACTAACTCAAGTACAAAGACATAACATTAAAAGATGAGTAAACTTGTACGAACGATAATTACGTAGGATAAATAAAAGGCTTTTATTTTAATCCAGTTAATTTAATTACATTTCCTTTAGTATTTTACAGATTCTGCTCAAATTGTAATCCTCTGTTATGAATACACACCCGCATTCACTTACGTAATTCACTTTTGGTAACTAGTTGTTAAGTGGCTTTTTATTTGTCAGCTGCACTGATTATTCTTGTAATTAATTCATCGCGCGTTAGTACGGGCGAAACATCGTACACCAGGCTTTTCATATGTCCCCACACATAGTAATCCATCGGTGTGAGATATGGGCTTCTTGCTAGCCAGGCATTGGGCCTGCCTCTGCCAATCCATTGATTTGGAAATTTAGAGTCTAAATACGCCCGTACTAGTCTACTGTAGTGTGCGGGACAGCCGTCGTGCTGGAACCGCATATTTTGTCTCGTCGCCAATTGGACGTCTTCCATTAATGGAAACAAGTGATTTTTCAAGAACTCCTCGTACACTTCTCCATTTAAATTGGCGGGCAGAGAATGAGGTCCAATTGAATATCCATCAATGATCCATCCACACATTGACTGAAAACCGGCTCTGAGACCCCGTCGGTCTTATTTTTCGGGGGTTTAAAGCTTCTTTATCAGCCCAGTAATGAGCATTATGGTAGTTAGTGATCCCGTCCTTATCAAACTTCGATTCATCGGTCCAAAGAATTTTCTTAAAATAGTCTGGATCTTCTGTATCTGCATGTAAATTTGTACCTGCAGAAATCTAATCGTCTTGCAGGATCGCCCTCTTCAATCACATGCACAGGCGTGTAGTGATAGGGGTATAATCTTGCAGTATGCACAGTAAACCATACTTTGTATTGTGATATACCCAACTGAGCAGCCACAATGCGCGTAGACGTAGTGGGGTCTTCCTGAAACACACGAAGGATAGACTCGATAGTCTCTCTCATCACTATGTTGCCTTTGAACACGTCTGGTTTGATGGATGCGCCGATACACAGTAACATGAGGTGTTCGGCGATTCGGGAAACGTTGCCGATATTCACGGCGGGCAGCTGCAGAATCGCCGTTACAAGTCCATAACAGAACATTATGCGTATTCTTCATTTGTAGAAGTTTGCCCGTGCTCGCTATGGCGAGGTCCAGGCGGCTCTTCTGCGTCTGCCATGATGATAAAGAAACCACTCGAAATGAACTGGGAAACTCGAAAATAATAGTCGTGCGTAAAACGTGTGCGCGTACACAGTAGTTGATACCAACAAAACCTAATTCTCACTCGGCGTGCGGCGATAGCGTAACTACAATGATAAATAATAACAGCTCTCTCACTCCTCCACTAAGTCAGCTCTTCTCGCTCGCTTCCTCGTCGAACCGATGCCATAAAACAATCATGGCATGCGAGTCCTTTGAGGACAGTAACGACTTGTTCAAACAGGTAATACAAATTCCTCAAAAATCCAGCCTCTGTGGGTGTCATTGTTGTTTCTCTGCATGTACTTCAGATAATTGAACGCTTAATACCTCAAATGAAAGCTTGTTAGATAGAGATATTATTTACATAATTTGCACATTTCATTACTAAGAGATTTTTTACAGAAAATATTAAAAAAAAATAAAATGATACATTTAAAAAGCGTAATTTTAATACGTTTGTAGCTTTTCAACATTTTATTACTTATTATGAACTATTGGAATGTCTGCTATGCGACGATAATAACAAACTCAAAATCAAGCATGCAGTTTTTTGTATTTCAATTTTAACCGTCTGAAATCGGAATAAAAAATAAAAAACTTAAAATTCAAATAACTCAAAAATGGTTAAATTTTGGATAAGACATGAAAGGTCAAAAATCTGTTGCTTTTGACCCAATCTATCACCCCTTAACAGGAATACGTGACATTACTAGTTACCCTGTATAGATATTTGTTGATCGTATTTCATAAATTAGTACAAGTGACAACTCAAAGAATGAAAACATTGATACATTAGGCATATTGCAAGATATAATTAATATATATAATTAAAATGTAAGACGTACACATGACAATGACAATTATAATGTATGAGTTAAAAGCTCTTCTGCAGTATAAAGGCACCTCTGTCATAGAAGTTTCTTTACTTTGTGCTTAAACTCATTATAGTTGTGATATCCCTTAGATATTTTGGTAAATTGTTGAATAGGTGGATGTAGGTGTATAATACAGATCTTTCTGCGTTTTGCATAGTTGTGGTTACTTCCAAGGAGAGTGAAACCATCAGGGTTGCTTTTCACAGATGCTACACATTTTACTATGTAACTTAATGAAAGTGTTAGAAGTCTGTGTTCCTGAAAAGCTTGCCTGTATCAGATAGGTTAAAAGAAATTTTCGTTAGGGAGGTCCTAAGAAATATAAAGGGTATTGGAGCCGCCAAAGATATATCTTAATGTTGCTAAAAATT